GACGAATGACTCATGCGGGTACCCTTTTGTCTGATCTGTTTGACCTCACTCGCTGACCGTGCGCATTATGCATGGTTGAGCACGTCGGTTTGGTGTGAGTCACTGACCTGGAAACGGAGTATTGAGTAAGCCTACTCCATTTATTGTCCTTAACGGCCAAGCTTTAATCACCCCCAGTCTAACAGGTCAGCAGTGAGAAATATTAAATATAACAAGTTGCTCTCTGATTGATGAGACCGTCGACTGACGGGACTGCGAAGGCCTGCTGCCGACTTAAGACTAATCTGTTTTGTCCGACTCGACAAACTTTGCCTGATATCTTCATAAGAATACAGTAGGTTGTGTAACTCATGAAATCCAGGGATCTTTACAAGTAACTCCCAGTTCCTCAAACGCAGTCCAAGCTGCGGCCCCCAAAGTCTTACAGCAATAAAGTAATGGTCGTTGTTCACAGTAGGGCATATTGCGATTATGAAGAAATACAAAGTTTCATAGAAATACCAGCTTTATTAGCAAAGTGGAAAATCCCGAAAAAGTGGGAATCGGGCGTACTAGGTAAACTTAAGTTTTCCATGTAGAGTAAGCCTTTTCATGCGAAACCACCAAGTGACTAAGGCAGCACGAGTACAATCACATTGGAGAATAATCCTTTTGTAAAATTTTCGGATACGCATGTTTCCATATTACGTGCAATGTAATGTTATCGAACAGCACGAATTTCCAGTATGTATTCCAACACGTTTTCATGAGAATTGCTAGTTTTTTTCTTTCGTTTATGCATTGCTTAAGTTACGTTGGACTCAGGAAACTACATATTTACTTGATCTAGCCCATTGAGATATCACAGGAGTAAGATATTTCGTAGGCTCACGTGTGGCATGCCAGTCAGTGACTAATAAACTTAAATAGAATTGTTAGGTGCAATTGTAAACGTACTGTTTTTGTACACTAAGGGGAAATTGCTTTCGCCACATTCCTTTCTAATTATTTTGGGATTTCGATTACGAAGGGGTTCAGATCTTCCTTCAAATGGTAATTAACACTTTACGATTTTCATTGGCTTCAGTCGATTGACCATTAATAGTTATAATATTCTACGTGCTTACCAAAACCTTCAAAATATGATATTTTGTAAAAGCATTTACCTAAATAACAAGTTTTTATACATCCTTTTTTATGCAGCTGTCTGTTAGGATCATAGTTTCAGATTCACCCAAACATGTCAAGTCATTGCCGAGAGAAAATGAACGTCCACAACAAACGTCGCAAATGAATATGCCTAAGATTGACTAAAAAATTTCAGTAACAAGTTACATCTTGAAAAAGCGCTTTAGTTATATAATTTGGCGTCGAATATCTGCGTACTCTATTTTCATTGAAGATAAAGTCAAGATCAGAATGGGAAATTTCGGCCAGTTTTTTGAGTTCCCTGAAAATTAGGGATATATCTTCTCTTATAAATTAATTAGCTAACTTTTCTATGTAAAGCGGAGCAGCTTTCAGTATATTTGTTTACTTCTAGTCTCAGTTTTAAAATAAGAAAAGCAGAGCAGAGTGGCCGAAATCAACGACGATTTTGAGAAAACTAATCTTCTGTCCATTCCGTTACAAGATTTTCTAGTTAATCTATTTTGCATACGTCTTTACAGAGAAAATTGACGGCATGTCTTGGGTGTTTGTATGTATGCTTATTTATGGTGGGGTATAGCAACTAACAGCCTAATAAGATTATTACTCAATTTTGTGGCAAACACTTGGCAGAGTTGCAATATAGAATGCTTTAAACTATATTCGCCTTTCTTTTCCCAAAATAATCCGCTATGTCATAATTGTACTAACCTCAATTTCATGAGCACAGAGCAAAATTGTCTGCTCTCTGGACATATATAATTAAAACGTTTCTGCTTCTTATTAATGTTATTGTATAGTACAACACGCAAGGGCAAGGAGTTTTTTTCCGCGGCATTTAATAGCGTAGAAAATTTCTTGCATATCACCAACGATGGGTTTGGCCCCACTTGGCCCTGTTTTGCCCTCAGTATACTGATCTAAACCGAACTCTTTTCTAGTAAACAACATTGTGCACCTCAAGTCAACTCAATGAACAAAATAAACAGCCTCTAATGTGTGTTAAATCAACCACTCAAACGTCGATCTTCACATTTCATCAGATATACAATCTACTGTACATGCGTAGGACGCTTAATTTATGACTTCTCTTTTCACTATCTTTATTTTTTCCTGCATACCAAGACAGTTAAATTCAAAAACTTAAAAATAGAAAGCCCCGTTTACTCCATTACTTACTTTCAACATGTAATCCTTGATGTTTTGCGTCAACTCCACTACTTCTACTTTTTAACTTGTCCCATGACGCCTGCAAACTGGACTACTGGATAGTTTGCTTAAAGTAAAGCAGAAGGATGTCGGCTCTGTCCCGTTTTTCACACTTTTTTTACTTTTTATTATTCGTAGATGAACAAACGCGCGTTATGCTCTCTAATCGTGGAAACGGCTACATCAACGCAAGTCTAGTGGTAAGCATTTTGTACATTTTGGTGTACATTTGGTGATTTGTTTCTCCCTACAATTCCTTTACCAAAGAAAACTCCTCTTTCACCTAAGCCGTTGATGTACTTATTTTGTTGTATTTTATGTTCCTGCCATGAAGTCTGCTAATTTTCAAAAGTCTTACACTAACTTTTCAATGGTTGGCTGTATTGTTGTAACCTGCGCATATACCCTTGAAGTTTGTTGTCAGTGCTAAAGTTTTCCTATTGATCATTGCAAAAACCGACCGCAGACGACAAACTAACGAAACAGTACTTGTACAGTATTCGCCGTCGCCTCCTTTGTTTCAAAAAAAGGCTGGCGTAACGACTTCGAATAACGCGTTAGGGAAGGCCTTCATAGCGTTCGTAAGGTAGCTAGTTTCTAGTAGATACGCGAGAACGGTGTTGTTTATAAGGCTTGTTTTAGTGACAAGCGTGGACCGCTTCGATGTGCATTTATTCCTCCTATCGCTAACTCGGGTCGGACTTCCCTGACCGAACTAGTATGGGGTCCGATAAAAGGATAGGAGGAAATATGCCAATGTGGCTTCAACAAGGAGGGGCAATCTACGAACAGGTCCCTTCTCTCCCATCGTATTCAGCTGTTTTTCTGAACCCTTTTCCGACACTTGGTTATTAATATTAACCTTTTCTTCCCTTTTATTTGTTTCAACTGCGAACCCACTCTACTTTCCATTGATTAGTCACTCACACAACTTCAGCCGGACTATGTGCTTAATGTTACTGGTCTAGTAAGGAAATACTTAATACGCATGTATTTTTGTCAAATTGTTTATCACATTTATGAATGGGACTACTCACAGAATAACATGATACATTGCTCAACGCTGACACTGGCATCCAACATTCAACCCAATGATTCAACCTATACGTTAGATGACTCGGCTTTCATTACGCATTCAAATTGTGTCCTAAACGTGACTTTCTTGACCCGAACGTGTTTCTGTGTTATGTAAAAAAAATTAGAACCGACAGACTTGAATGTGTTCTAGAAGTATGACTGAGTGCTCTCTGGTTTATATCCACAACACTTGCTTGTCGTCCTGGTCCGCGAAATTTTGAATCATTTCATTTAGCGTCTTTCTGTTTGAATAGTGTTTCCAAGCAGGGCTAACCCCATGTGTTAAGTACACTCTTTCTGTGTCATATGATAAGCAGTGGAAAGAATAGCAGAAAGTTTTGACTACCTTTTTAAAAAATCAATGTAAATGTGGTTGCCGAATTCCTGTGACCAATACACAGTAAGAATTTGATGCAAAATTTCCTCGTAATGCGTAAGATATCGTCCATAGATGCCTGTCGTCAAAAGGCAAAAGTGCAAATTCTAGTATCTCTTTCTAAGTCTATTTTAGTTGTTTATTTGGGCTAACGCGTGTTCCTTAATTTCTTCGTGTCTATTTGCACCATAGTCTGGAGACAAGCGAGGGATTGGTAATCTGATAAGAAATAAGAGACTATTAGTGGGATGACTCTGCTAAACATCCTTTTTTTAATCCGCCGACTGACCATGTCGGCAAGTCGTTACCACTGTGCACCAATCAACTGTGACCCAAAATCATGGCGGGAAGTTAGAGGAGAGCGACATAGATAGGGCCGACCTAACGAAAATGTTGTAACCTTCATTTTGTTTGACTGTGTAATGCAGACTTGATAGTGGAAAGCAGATCCAGATATTCGAACTGTCAATCAGTCAAGAACTTGTTCGAATTTTCTCTGCTTTCTTCTTTGAGAGCAATGTTTGCAGCAAATTGTTTAACCGTGCTTTCCACGCTTGTATTAGATTGTATAATGCAACTGTGTGTTGTTTGACTCATTATTTGGTCTTTTAGCTTTCTTAGTCACCAAGTCTTTTCAAATAAGATTGATGACAGAAAACTGAACATAACTCGGTAGATCGGACAAGAAGATTCGTAAGGAAAGAGTAGTTGACTTTTATCGACCTCAAATGACCGTGGTTTCGGATTGTGATCACATTAGATCACAATCCTTAGTTTATTGAAAGGCAATAAATCAGTTTCATATCAAATTGGTTTAAAGAATAAAGAATAAAAAGGATTCAAGGTTACAATATGCCCCATCGAGAAATTTAGGTGGAGGGGTGTGAATAAAGCTCCTATGATAGGAATCCGGTATATCCCATAAAGAATTTATTTTAATTTGATGGCTTGAGGCATTTCGAGACGAGCATTAATGAATTCCTTACGCGTGGCTGGAACGGTGCTACGCCGAAGAAGGTACCGTGGTTACATCTATCAACTGCACAAAAGTAAATCTTTGCCTCTGGCTCCCAGTGGAAACCTAGTACAGAATAAGTGGTGATCAGCTGCAATTACCAAAGCCATCTCAAGGCCGGTACAAGCATTCAAAAGTCGCCTCAGGAACTATCGGATGAGCAAGGAACTCAAATGCATCTCTCAGCGAGCCTTTCTGTCTCGGGCAGTTTATGGGCCATTCGCTGATTTCTTCCGACTTTCGCGTTAGTATTTGACATTGATTTGGTTTTAAAAGTGCCATCCCTCGTCGGAAGGTTGTTTAATTGCATGAAAACGCCACGAGATTAAAGTTTACTTGTTCTAATTCCTGCGCCTGTCAAGTAGTCTTGCTACACGTGTGTATGCAGGCCTCCAAAGCTTTTTTCAGAACCCTAATCCATTTCCCTCCTTTCTCTCGCCTCAAAGTTTGACCATGATCCGCGCACTCCGACCTATATTGCTGCCGAAACGCCGCTGCCTGGTACGGTGGCCGCCTTCTGGCAGATGGTGTGGGAGCAGTTCGCAGTGGTCATTGTTTGCCTGGAACCAGATAGCGCTCTCGAGCAGGTGATGGGGAATTGCCTTGACAGCGGGACAGACAACATTGACACAAACACCCAGGCTCGCTACTGGCCTCCGGAGGGCTGCTCAGTGTACGGAAAGTTCGAGGTACGTTTTCAAAGTTGGTCCTCCTCGCTGAAGCCTTTAGAATCAATCGCTTTGTTTTGAGACAGCATATATATCCCAGTCGATTCTCACTCACCGCCGGTGTTGCCTCAGACTATTTCTACAA